TAAAGCTTTGCCAGCAGCATTTTAGACCCATGCAATTCTCTTAGGTTGCAACATTTTAACTAAGAAATAATAATAAATATGCCAGCTGCTTAAGTTTCCTTGCAACCCTTGAACCTGACACAAAATTCTGATCTTTGGACTTCATTTTTGTAGGCATCAAGGACAGATTTACTGGCAGGGGAATAACATTTCCCTTACAAATGCTCTATCCAATGAGACAATCACATTCCTCCTGTTTGTTAATTTGGCTTGGACCCAGTTCTAAAGTCTTCAGTATAACAATGTTATACAATAAAGTCCCCTCCTGTTAAAAATTCAAAAACATTCTAATAAAACAAAAAAGCTTATTACAACTTGAGACACTTACCTAGCTGTGGTAAAGGCTTCAGTACCCACAACCCAGAAAATGAACCGATTCATAATGGGGTGTTAAAAACAATAATAATAGAAAAGAAAAAATTTACCTTTTTATTATCCTTCAAAAGGTAGAAGATTATAAAAAGATTTCAGTAGGATCTAGAAATATCCAAAGTCTATCATCATACAAAACATCAACTTCTTATACAAAATATTTTCATAAAAACATGGCCATGATACAGACCTAAATCCCCACATCTGATGTAAACAAACCCATCCCATGCTAATATACAATTAAAGATAATTGAAAGAATCTAAATACTTAGAGGTTTTTTAAAAAAGAAAAAATGTAATTCATTTTACATCTTTAAATATGATCATATTATTCAAGAAAATTCTGTTTGCAAAGATGAACAGTGTGGCAAGTATCATAAGATATGGCTTGCCTCATACTACATCATCATTATGGCAATAGTGTTTATACAAAAGCAACTTGATTTTCAAAAGTTGGAGACTTTGAATCTGTAACACTTCATTCAGTTTTTTACAATGAATACTAAAACTGGATGGAGCCTTTATAAAAAGGATATATAAAATGCCTAAGATCATTCAGAAGCAAGAGGATATATATTATATTTAAAAATTACAACTATTTTCTTTTCATAATAAAAAGTGGTTTATTTGCAGCAGACTAAATTTCTTCTGCAAGTGGGAATGACATACCAGAAGTTGATAAGCTATATACTGAGCTGCTTTTTCAGAAAGGCTGTGCATCTACAATCCTGAGGGACACTATATAGGATGGAATTTGAAAGCTTATAGCATTTACAGGGAAATAAGGAAACAGCTTTACAGTGTCCTGCATTGCAGACAATAATTTGGCTACTCATCTGTGTTTGTGTTAACTTTTTAAATATTCATTTATAGTATTAAGATTTTGCAAAAGAAACTCCAACTTCATTAGTGCTTTTCTTTTTTCTTTTCTTTTTTAAGATATAATAGGAACATTAAACCTTTTTTGGGAAATTAACCATGGCTCCAGATTAACCCTCATAAAAATTTCACTATCGGTGAAATTTCATCTCCAGTGCAGAATGTAGGATTCTGGGGAGGTAAGATTCTTGTGGGGTCTCTTCACATTGGGGTGAACTTTTTCTAAATAAACTATGTACAACATGGTACAGCAAAAGCTCTGTTATCTGGCACCCAAGGGGAATGGGAGGTGCCGGATAACCAAAAATGCCGGTTACCAGAAAGGCGTCTTTGCCTGCCTCCCGCTGTGTCCGCTGCATCAGCGTGCCAGGGCACAGGCACCATGTCGCCCCTCCCCTGCACATCCTAAAGTGAACAATCCCTTCCAGACATATTGGATTACATGTAAACTTTATCAGTTTATCAATAAATTCGCCGTGGCCCAAAGTGGGACTTCCAGTTTCAATTTGCCATGTCGACCGGCATGCTGGTTAATAGAGCATGCCAGTTAATGAAGTGCCAGATAACATGGCTTTTACTGTACATATTTAAAAGTGGAACTGAGGAATTGAAACTTTCTTCTAAAAAAAGAACATACTAAGAATTGGCTATACTCATTCACCAATGAAAAGACACCTTGAGCTTAAAATTACAACTACAGTTCTTTTTAATAAAAAGCAGTTTATCTGCAAAGGTCTGAATCTCTTTTGCAAGTGGGGGATAACAGATTGGGAAGCTGTGTTCTTTATCTTGATCACTGGCCTGCTTACTCTAGGCCTATATAATTATGCAAATTGATTTTGATAAGAGATTTAAATAAGGTTGATTCTGCTTTGCACAGCAGGGTTAGACTGGAGGGTCTCTTCTATCTTTCTATGATTCGAGGGGTCACTTGGTCTCTCTGAAAAGGCGTCAGCTTTTGGAAGTGTTGGTTGTAGCCAGGTTGGACTAAGGACATAGGCAGACAAGATTCTTTGGGTAAATGTGATATCTTTTACTAGACCAAGTAAATAGTTGGAAAAATTATTCTTTGCAAGCTTTTGGGCACAAACACCTTCTTCATGAATACAGAAGAGGCACTTCTCTGTGCCTGAAGAAAGATGTTTGTGTGTGAAAGCTTGCAAAGAACAATTTTTCCAACTATTTACCTAATAAAAGATATCAGTTTTTGGGGGAATTTATAGTACTGTCCAGTGAACAAAATCTAAAAGAGGTTCCAACCATCTTACTTTAAAATGTACTTACTGTAATTCAAAGGGCACACGTGTGCTTTGCTATGAATGTCAGCTGGAGTTTAGCCACAGACTTCAAATGAGGATAGGATCTATCCCATAAAGATTTATGTACCTTTCAAAGGAGCCAGAAGACAGACATGCACTTCCCATTTGATCAGTAAATCTGCATAGTTGGGAAAATACCCACATTTTTATTTGGTCTTGTAATTCACCCTTAAGCAGCTTTTGAATCCAAGATTCATAGAGTCACTGTTGTCATTGTTCTTAATGCTCATGAGTGTCCTGATTTTCAAAAGTGTACCACACTTGCAGCTCCCAACATCTCAATTAAGATTGCAGTTGTTTGAAACCTCTGAAAATCAGGACGCTCATGACTCTTTTTGATGAATCCAATGAAAGTAGATGGCATCTATAGAGCTAATATATGTATTTGGTGCAACAGCACCATGGTTTGTAGGGTCATAATTATAGAGGACCTATAGTGTTAATTATGATTTTTTTCCTCAGTAGGAAATTGTTTTGGAGACATCCTTGGTGTTTTTCAGATCACATGGACGTGCACAGCCTTAATCACGACAGGATGATCAATCTCATGGTTTTCTTGAGCTTCTTTTAAATTCCTCATGTTGCTGTTTTGCTGTCTGGTTTTGAAACTGAAAGTGAACAAAATTCAAGAGCTACAGACTGCTTTAGAGAAACTGCCAAACACTTCCCCCTCCCAAAATGAAACTACTAAAACACTGGGGCTTCATCACCTTTTCTCCCCCCAATATCCACCTTGCATCCAGGACTCTCTTTCTTCATGAGGAGGGAAGAGAAGATTTGACACTTAAAACCATGTTATAATTACAATGTGAATATGTGCAGTCACTTCAAGCATAAGCCACAATGCACAGAGAACAATGATCATAAAATGTGATCTGTCCCTTCAAAGACAGGTACCTGGTTTCATGACGGAGCTCTTCACTCAGCACGGCTCGTACTGCTGAGCATGGGATTAATGATCAGTGTGCCATTGGAATGTTAGCAGTTGCCAGAACAGACCGCACCTGGCTCAGGGGCAACTCTGCACATGTATTATAATCCAAATACACACCATGTTGGGGCAGGTTAATAATCAGGTTCAACATCCTCACTGAACAACAATTCTATTGTTGAAAACTCTTAATTGCAAATCATTATTATTTTAAAAGGTAATTATAACAAGCATTAGAGCCAGCTGGAGATTGGGCATACAGCATCTGTTTATGCATGTGCATGCCTCCATAATATTTCAGTAAACATGTTTCTTAAGGGTGACCCAAATAATCCAGACCAGTGTAGCGAGAGTGCTCTGGGTAGTGTTTACAGCTATATGAAGGGAGTAGGGGAGAAATCTGTGTAAGATTGTAGCATTAATAGATTATAGCACTAACTGGGCACATCTACACATTCAATGATGCACAGTGGCTACCAGCATTACTGAGCAGTAGCACCAGCAAACGCCTTTTTTGTGACACTACTGTGAAGTAGCCTAATAATACTGTGCAGTAACATATTAGCACTGTCCATGGTGCAATGTCCTACTATGCAGTTAGTGTCCCGTGTAGATGTGCCCACTGTTAAATTACAGCATTGATTCAGCTACCAAAAAGAAAGTCAGAAGACTGAAGTCCTGTATTTTAGAATAGAACCCAATATGCATCTGTTCAAAGATGAAAAGAGTTCAGATGAAAGAAACAAATTTCACTAAATGAAAAGTCTTTCAATTCATCATCAAAAAGCAGGGGAAGTGCTGTATGCACATGTCCCCAGTGTTAAGCACACCTCTGGCAGGGATAAAGATAAACAGGTGCATATGGGAAAAACACACAGAGAAGTGCCTGCCTTACATGAAGCAAGATTTGTGAGATGAATCAATATCTTCTATTGGATCAAACTGTATAGCTGAGAGAGACTGGAGAGAGAAATGCTGCAAAGACAGATAGGGAATTGCTCACAAGCCTCCAGACTTCCTCCCTTTCATTTTCCAAATCTTAATTCTTCAGTAAAATATAGAACATAATGTATATATTGGGTATGTGTGTATGTAGGGGTGCGTGTATATTTCATTTTTTTAAATATCTATCTATATATAGATATAGATATATAGAAGAAGTAGGATATTGAAAAGGTAAGGTATATTATACCTTAATAATCAAATAAATAAAAGCCTTAGTCTGTCTGTGCATAAAGCTTTATTTGCACTGTGTTTGGCTGTCTTGGCAGCCAATCAGAGTGTGAATAAAGCGGTCGGGACAGCAGGCAGTGGAGTGCTGCCATGATGGCGGGGGACAGCGGGGACAGATGGGAGGAGGCAGTGGTCGCGTGAGGGCGCAGGGGATGGGGTCAGAGCCGCCACAGCAGGGGAGGGACAGGGGTAGTGGCCCTGGGCCCGAACGCTGGGGGGGAAATGGGGTTGGGCCCAAATGGCAGGGGTGGGGCCAGATGAGAGGAGTGGAGGGGGCAGGGCCAGATGCTGGGCTCTGTCCCCTCCAGCACCCCAGGAGGGCAGGCATGGGGAGAGTGGCTCTGACCATGGTGCCAAAGCGGCAGGGGCGAGGGTTGGGGGGAGCCTGGCCCCAGGCCTCTGTCTCCACCCAGCTGCCCCCGTTGGTAGGTGGTGGCAGCAATGAAATGGACAGAGAGGGGGTGCTGGCCCAGTCCCCCCTGCTCCCTGCAGGCCGTGAAAACAGAGCAGACGGGGGATGGGAGGGGTGCAAGGCCAGTGCTGCTGGCCATGCCCCGCCCCACCCCCCCAGCCCTGCAGGTAATAGCGACGAACAAACGGGGTGGGACGGGGGTTGCTCAGGGGATGGAGGTGGGGCAGTCTGGCCCAACTCCAAAGCAGTGGGGTGGGGAGAAGGAGCGGGGAGGGCAGACACAGACCTCTGTCCCCAGCCACCCCTCTCCCTCCCCATCATTCTTGATGGGCAATTGGCACGTGCGCATGTGCGTGCGTGTGCGCGTAATGCTATCATGTTATTTAAGTATGTACGAAGATAACATTCCCATTTACTCTTTAGTGTGTGATGTGCTGATTATGCTTCTATAACTACAGAATATGAATAGATGTAAAATGCTAACACCCTACCTGAGGCATTCCTGACTCTGAAAGTCACTGAGCCATGCTGTTTCAAAAAAAACATTAAAATACAACAGAAACTGCTTTTTAAAATGCACATCCTCTTTACCAGGGATCGGGCTGGTGGCTGAACTCTATTTCCCAACAGCCCTTGTCCATGCTGCTCCCAGCCAGTTGAGCCGCGGGCTCATGACAGCCCCATGCTCCCAGGATCTAAATGGACACTGGCCTGTAGTGGTGCAGGCAGGGCACAGGTCTGAGCAGGCAGGTGCTCCAGGGTCAGGGCCAGGATCTTGCAGTGGTGACAGCATGAGGCCGGAGCCAGGGCAGAGCTGCTGCCTGCACACCCCTGCCTGCAGAACCCACGCTCATCACAGGGTCATGGGGGCAATGGATCACAGCTCTGCCCTGGCCCCCCCCCCAGCCAAGACCTCAGGGGCTTCCCAGCCCCACCCATCTCACTCCCAGCTGCAATGCCATCCCAGCCATGTGCCCTTCTCATGCGGGTCCCACCCCTGGTGGTGGGCAATGAGACTGGGTCTGGTGGCAGTAGCCAAAAGGAGCTGCTGCCACAAGGGCTGCTGGGAAATGGAGTTTGCTGTGGGCCTGTTTTGGCCTGAGGCCAGACTTTGCCCACCCCTGCTCTTTACTAATCCCATATTAATACTGTAGTTAATTTTTTTTAATTGTACCCATGTGATATGGAGCTGTTCCCAACTTACCCCAAGAAAAAAAATCAGAGGTCACTTTGAATGTTTTGTTCTGTTGGAAAAGATCTGACAAGATACTTATCTGCAGAGTGTAATTTGTTGAGTGGATATGCCTATAAAAATGAAACCCACTTACCATTTTACTTTTAGCATCTGGTCCAAGTTTTCGGGGAGAGGATTTCCATAGCTTTCCGGAAGGAATAGAGTAACAATCCCTATCAGTACAGTCAGGCTTCCCATGAGAATGTAAGGCAGGAACCTATCATAGGCACCTGGCAGAATAGAGGATATAGCAACACTGGTTATACACCAACAATTACCACAAGCTCGTGGATACGTACAACAGTAGCGTAATGTACAATTCATTTGGAATAATCTGTGATTTTATATTTCTACTTATCTCTACCACCACCACAAATTAATCACAGATTGAAGGTGTTTGTAGCACCTGCCAATAGTAACTAAAATATATTTCAAGATATAAAAAAAGTCAAACTCACGCAAGTAAAGGAAACAGAGTTTCTAATGCAGTAAAGTATGTACTTGTGACATAACAGTATAACTTTCTGATTAAAAATAAATTGCTAGTTTTTATGATGCAGAGAGTTAGGATTAGCAATGAAGATCTCTGGATAATGCAGGGCAAGCTAAAAAATTGTGATCTGATCTGTCTCTGGGTCACTAGGTGGATGAACCGTACAGCCTAATTTAACTGAAGCAAATATCAAGAGCCCACAAAATTCTCCTAAGCTTATCTAAACATACATGACTTTCTCCAACAGTGGAGCGAGGGGCTGAAGGCAGGCCCTTGGGACACATGTCTGAGATCCCATAATGAGCAGAGGAAGAAAGGCATAGAATAAAGAAGCTGGAAAAGGACAGAGATAAAAAGCTAACGAGAGGGGAAAAGCAACCAAAAAAGAGCAACCCAGCTAGAGGGGCTTTAGGGCAGGAGGAGTCAGGCTTGGGTGGAATAGGCAGAAGGGACTGTGGCCACAAGACTGCATAGGCAACTTCTGCAGAGGTATTTTCTAACTTTGTAGACTTAAGTGTTCCTACAACATGCTCTTTGCCTTTCATTATAGATGGGGCAGTTAGGCCCAGCTTGTTTTTCCCCCCTCTTTTTTAACCTATGACCTTACACACAAAACTGAAATCAAGTATTCAAAGTTAGAGAACAGAACTGAAGTTGTCTGCAAAACATTCATTGAGGCCCCCTGTATGTGCACATAACATAGTACAGTCCTAAATTACTTAATCCCATGCAGTTATTCCACAAGACCCCTGCCTTTTTCAGTGCCCACAATAGAACTGCCCTGCAGATGACTTTAGAATCTCTCAACCCAAGTAACAGCCTAAAAATGAGACCCCCAAATGAGGCATTATATCACATCCAGGGCTGAAATGCTGTTTCAGAAGTCATCAGAGACCAGGCCAATTCCAACTGGACACCTTTATGCACAAAGACTTTTCTGTGCAGTTTTCTGATCTCTGTGCTCAAAATCAAGCCAAGTCATAGGAAGCATCTTACCAAGGTAGACAAAGTAAGGTGCAATGATGCTGCCCACTCTGGAAGACATAGAGGTAGCTCCAACAGCCATGTTTCTTACTATGGTTGGGTAGAGCTCAGCAGTGTAGACATAGAGCATGGAGAATGCTGAGGTGATCCCAAACTTCCCCAGCATTACTAGGATGACTGACAGGATGTGTAGGGCTGAAAATAAAAATCAAATAAAGATGATAAAGCTACATTTGATTCCTGCAACCATGACTTCTATGTGCTTTTACATCCCAAGGGTTATTTCCTCCCCAGTTTTTGTTTCTTTGCTCTTATAATAAAGCTGCTTTATTTAACTTCAGCATCCCATCCCTACATTTTACATCTCCTAGCTACCCAAGGGTACATGATAACAATAGACATGGGCACCTTATTTTGTACTCTGAGCATTTGATTCTCTCTCAGTATAAGAACCTTCTTAAAACCAATGAAGGCTTTGATTCTGCAAATCAACATAAGGCTTGCTTAAATTCATCCTTATTCAGCACAGCACATAAGTATCACTGATGTCTACATCAGGCAAACTTGTAGGTTTTCTAACTAGAGAGCCCACAGATCACAACTGCATCTTTATTTTTCCAGTTTTATGCACTGGTTCCTCTAAATAGTTTAATAAAAAGTGATTTTCAAATGTGAAATCAACAATAACTACATATAGGGGGAAAAAATCAGGCCAGAATCAACTAAGATTTAGCATAAGTGTGACCCAGAACCATTCTGGTTCCCAACTCCCTCCTGGAACAATAAACATGCAAATAGACATGGTATTTCATTTCTACATCATGAGTTGAAGCTCATACATGTGGGCACCAGCTGAATGAAGAGAACAACTCCTCCTCCTAAGAACAAGGTGCCAGCTATCGAATACCGCCGAGGCAGGGTCCGGAGGAGCAGCCAAGCAATCACATAGGCTGGAACTTCAATGACAGCTGATAGGAAACAATTGACGTAGGCATCTCCATGTAAGTTAGGAGTGCTGAGTGACAGTCCAAAGTAACCAATTGATGTCAGCATCCTGAGAAAGGTGTAAAGAGTAAAGAATCAGAGAAATGCTGCTCTAACATCTATATTACTCAAGATCCTGCTTCAGAACCGCACAATACAAGACCTCAACACAGCTGAGATGGACCAGGAATTCCAACAGATGCAACATAGTGCAAGCCTTTTAATGTTAAAAATGCATGAACAATCAGCTTCACAGCAGCTTTTAGAAAACCTCAGTTTCAACTGTCCCTCCCATATGCAGTTCATTTAATGAAAACCTCAGTGCATGTTTTTCATAATGGCAAAACACTATTACTAGTACAGTGAAGTCCTGAAACATTTCAGTGCATGGCAAAGCACCAAGTACAATCTTGTTTACAGTGAACTTTTTCCTACAGTAAATTCAATTTAAATCATTAGTCCAATCAAAGAGCTCCATTGTGTCTCATCTATGTGACACTGTTAAGAGGTTCAGATTCCAGACTTTAAAGCACTTCAATTTGATGTCTAAAAGGAACTAACTGGTTTCTCCAATGGGAGGTGGCATTTTCTACAGGAATAAGGATTAGGAAAACTATGATATCTAGGAGCCCCAAACATGCATCAGAACTCCACTGTACAAACGTAAGATAAGATGGCATTGGGTTCCAATTACTGTTCTGCCACTGAACCTGTGTGGCTTTGAATATGAATATGGCTTACATATACCCCAAGAAATAACAGTTAATTCACATGGAGAGGAAGATAAGGTTGTAGTCATTTTTCATTTTTAAACAGTATTCTGAATACATAAATGGTCTGGTGGTACAGCTATCCTACTGGTGAGCTTGTGTGCTCACACTCACACTCCCTGCTTATAAGTTTGCACACCCCATGGAGGTTCCCATATATAAACAGGTTCCAGATTATGAGACCAGTTATTACTTAAATTTGTATCAGGCACCACAATTAGGCATTGTTTAATTGACTGGATACTTTCAGGTGACACTAATACTTGCCACAAAAGCAGGGACATAACAGTGATTGTTGCGATGTTTCGGTTTCTGAAAAGGTCAAAGAGATCAGCCGTCTGCTGTTGCTGCAGATTCAAATCCTGCATCTGAAGGGAAACAGAAAAGACAACCAAAAGAATCCTTTGCTCTTCTAAGAATGGGAATTGTTCCCTGGGAGATCTCACAGATCAGTCTGAGCTATGGGAAATCATCCAAACACACACACACATGCACACACACTGGGAGGTTGCAAGTTCCTTCAAGCTCAGTGGAAGAACAACTAGACAGCATGCTCATTCACTGCTAGCCAGTCAGTTCTGCATTAGCAAAAGCACTCCACTGACAGGAAACTTAGTTGTTCTCTACCACCAACGCTTCTTTAATTTACTTGTGGCAAAGGGCAGCTCTGACACCACAACAGTTAGATTGCCTGTACTCCAATGGTCTTCTCTTGAGGAAAGCTTTGCAAGAACTTCTGCTCCTTTGTGCCTTAAAAAGCCTTCCTAGAAGTGACCTCATTACCAGTGGTTAGTTTCAGCACAATTTCTCATCTCTTGCTCTAGCTGAAATTAACAATCAGTGTAAGAAAAAAATGAGTAAGAATTCTAGGTTTTACAAGGTATCTAGCAGTAATCAATTACAATGGCACATGAGAAAAACTAGTATGGAGCTCAATAACTCATCAGAATGAAAATTACCATGCTTGCTCTCTTGGGTGAGAGAGGCTGAGACCTAGCTTGGTGCTGCAAACAGTTTCCATGCTGCTCTCCACTGATTTCTGCCACCTGCCCACCGGACTTCCTTGGTTTGATCAAACCAATTCAGAGCATAGAGGTAAGCCTTCCACCTAAGAATTACCCTCTGCTTGAGTAAGTGGCCATAAATTATACACAGAATCATAGAACCAGAAGGAACCTGTATGGTCAACAAGTCCGCTCCCCTGAGTTGCCATACTACATGGCAACTGTGTAGTATATAGGTGCCATGTATACATAACATATACAAGATACTAAGGTAGTTTTAGGGGAACAGTCAACTAAGGACTGAACAGCCATGGGGACAAAGCACCACAGACTAAATTATGGTACTGTGGCCTGTCTGGGCAAAACTTAACTGCTGCTTCCTTGGCTGTACAGAATTGGCTAGCTGGAAGATTTCATTTTCTAAGATTTTCTGTACAACACAGTTCTCAGGCTCCAAAATCACTTTAACAGGAGATAAAAGGTACAATTATAAACTGCTATCTGATATGACTTTTAGGGCTATATACTTATAGTTGTGCAGCTGGGATGGAGGGAGAGGGTAACAGACTGCCCTTTAATCCAAAAGTAAGGTGGCAGTGACAACAGATAAGCTTTTCTACAGCAGCCAGAAAAAAACCCCCAAAACATTTCCAGCATTAAAAGATGCAACAAAGCTATGGCTGTCAAATAGAGGTGGTGCCTCTGTCTCAGAGAGCTATTAGAGGAGGACTCCTATCTTCAGAGCCTATTTGCTTTTTGAGGAGAGATACAAGTGGCATAGCAAAAAGAAAACAAAAGGGCATGTGCACAGTTTAGTCTGTCAAGCAGTAGATTTATCACATAGCACAATTTTATTGAAGATACAACATAAGAACTTATCAAAAAGGGCAGCATACCAAGTCAGAAAGACTGCTAGGTGTACACTGGAATTGCCTTCACTCTGCACATCCTTAGTAATGAGGTGCACTCCTTCAGTTCTGTGCTGTGGTTGATCAGTGAAGCCTTGCTTATTCCCTTGGTATTTTTGACTAGCAGTCATATATTTTAAAGCTTTGGGCACCAGAACAACTGCCCCTCATACAACCTCTCTTTTGGAAGTGCTAGTGTTAAGTTATCAGCTGTGAATGCTGCATCCAATTGAGATGAAAGTTTATTTTCCTCTGATTTTCTCATCTGGGTGAGGAAGCAATCCAGGTTTCCCAGGGACAGATTCCATCCTATAAGAGCCTGTTCCTAACTGAAAAGCACAGAGAGTCATTACTAAAAATGAGAGATCTTACTAACAAAATAGAAAAGCAAGTCTAATTTCTACTTTTCCCACTCGTGATGCCAGCTGCATTACTGTCAGCACGGCTCATGCCAAATATGAACTACTGACTACAAATCTGGTGGCAGAGCTATTTTTATTTTGGCTTTTCAAAAGAATATGGAAGCGAACTGTCCAAACAGGACGACAGGAAGAATTATTAAGTAGCAGATCAGAGACAGGTAAAAACATACCTCCACAGGGTCAAACAGCACATCTGGGGCTGTAACGCCATTCATCTTTGCAGCTTTTCGGATGATGACTTCTGCCTCTTGAAATCTTCTCTGAGTGATCAGCCACCGGGGAGATTCAGGAATGACCCTACAACAAGTTTCAGAATAAAATGACTCCACATTTCCAGGGATCCCATGACTCCACTGATTGTGTTCATTATCATATCTTCTCCCATCCCCTTAACAGATTTGTTCTTACGGTAGGGTCCAATCCAGCCAGCATGTAAGCATGTGGGTAAATTTACTACCATGAATTGTCCTTTTGACTTCAATGGTACTACAAGTACACAGGTAACCTAACTGACTAAGTGCTTGCATGACTGGACCCCTTTTCGGTATACATATCTAAAGTTAGCCACGCTCTTGGTTTGGGCTTTTTATTTCTGAAAGGGGTAGCTAATATAAAATCAATGAAACTGAATATTTTTGCCATTTAATAAGTAACTTCTGTTCCGGCTGGTATCAAAATCAAGTATATATAAGCCAGCTGTATGGGAATGGCACAGGAAGCTGAAGATATGGCACACAAATGCTTTATCTATGCAATGGATATTAAAAAAAAGAAGGTTCAGACATTTAAAAGTTCTGTACCTCAGAGAGCTTCTAGACACCACTTTCCTACCGTAGGCAAAGCTGGTCAAAACCTGTCAGGTAGGAGGACTGTGGCAGTGCCATCTTGCAGCTATGACTGTATTTCACCAATCCAAACATGATCATGACTGTTCATATCAAACACAGAACAGAGGTGCATGGATCTCCTTCACCCCTTTCTTTCTGAGCTTTAAATCCTTCAACTGCTGTCTTGCCCTTCCTAGTCTGTGGTCATTCCTCTCTCTGCAAGAACAGGTCAGAGACTAACTTTCCTGATAGATAACCTAGTGGCCTGCATGGCAGCTGCTAAAATTCTTTTCAAAGGCCTCAAGTGCCACCCAATTAATAGTTTTTATGCTACTAAAGTAAAATTAGGACTCTCAATCCAACTTCATTACTTTACAGGTCATCCAATGAATAACAAACAAACAGACTGCAGAAACAAGGGGTATTCAGGACACCTTTAGAGTATCTCTCTCTCACTTTTTGATTGGATATTTCTTGAAAGGAAATGACAAGAGGCACTGGCACCGAAATACCTTTGAGTATCCGAGTCTAATGCTATTGGCAGATACTGTGCAAACTCCACCCCACCCCCCCAAACACAAACACACTGCTGCCAAAGAACCTCAGTCTCCATCCACCTTGGTATCTTGATGCTGCACCAGACCCAGAGGATATCATTCAGGCAATATTTATTCAATGTTTGTGATGCGGACAAACAAACAACAACTAGGAAAATACTGACCACACACTTTTTCACTAGTGCCCCAGGCAGGAATTTTCAGTAAGATCAGTGCAAATTATCTGGAGAGTCCTTAGGAGTTCTCGCAGATATTTATATACTTCTTTTTGAGATTTATCCTCAGCAGCTGTTTCTCTCTCTCTTGTTCAATAACAAAACAATGCTGTCAGCTGCAAAGGAAGTGCAAAGAGCCTGCATGCATATCATGGATTCCAAAAGCATTTCAAATTAAATCATTTACAGTAATGCTTTTGCACAGGAAATCTGACCAATTCTCCATTCGGGGGATAGCAAACTGGTATTGGGGAAAAAAATTCTGAAAAGGTTTAACATTCTCAGCAATTAAACAACAAAACAAAGCAGCAGAAACCCTGCAGAAAGGTTAAGTTCACCAAGATGGGATTTCACAGTTCATAGGTCCGGTTTAATCTGTTTTACTTAAGAGTGACATAAAACTACGGCTTTCTTTGATACATCAGAAATGAGGTGGCTTCAAGGAACGAGAGAGAGAAACTTGCGGGACAAGACTGGCATGAAAGGAGAGAACTCTCTTCTGAAGGAAACATGCACCTTCTTGAGAGTAAAGGAAACACCCCACATTTCCCACCCCTACCTTCTAAAACAAGGCTCTCTCCAGGAAATTAGTGCACTGACTTCACAACACAGATGTCCTGCACATAGCTTCTCTTCTCTCATGTGCTGACCAGGCCAAACAAAACATTAAGCCTTCCCATACTGTCTATGTTTTCTTTCCTTTTCACACTGGGAGTACATAATAAGCTGTGGGTGAGTGAAGGGAGAGCTTAAATATTTATTTAAATGTATGTCAGTTTCTAAAGCAGTGGGTGGATGAGAGCAGTGCAGAGATAAAACAGACAAAAACCAACACACAGACAGCCAAGAGCAGAGTGTGGACCAGCCTCTGGGAAAAAGGTTGTTAAGGGTGGACAGATGGAATCAGTAGGGTCATGTTTTCAAAATACAGCATCTGAGTGCAGAGCAAGGAACATCTTTTTTTTTTATGTTGCTGCTGAAGCTTGCTTGTTCCTTTGGCAATCTGGCAAATGGAAAAAAGTAAAGATACAGGAAAGAGTGCCTAATGGTACTTCTTTACCCATGTGATGCAATGGTTTGTCGGCACTTTGGGTGCAAAACCCTGTCAGGCAGGCATTTCTCATAAAGCCTAAAGGCCAGATGATCCTCACCTACTACACTTGTCTACAGAGGCTTCAGACCTGTGATAGGCACTCATGTTCCTGGACAAAAAGTGGAAACAGAATTGCTAGCAGGAGGGTGCACACTCTAGCCCGTATCACCTCAGCTCACCCAATTGCCAAGAAAAGGCCAAGAACACTTACCTTAAGGCATGTGCCCCAGATACAATTTTAGGTCTTCGCAGAAGCTCCCCCTTGATGGGCTTTCAGAGCTCAAATACATGCCCTCTCCCAGAGGAACTGCCACCTTTGATCTCAGCTGTGTGCTCAGCCATACAGGGGTCAAAGGAAAACAGGAATACAGAAGGAACAGAGAAAAGGTTCTCCTCGCGGCAGAAGCCAGGTAAAGCATCTAACAGTCCCTGCTGATTTAAATGGAATTCTTTAACCAAGGATCCGAGGAGTCTCGCCTACTTTAGATTTGTTTCATAAATGATTTAAAATGCACAGACCCCCCCATAAACACAGGTCTCCAAGGAGCAGGAAGTGAGGCACCCCCAGTCTCTAGAGGCCAGACAGGCCCTTTTATAGGATGAGGATTTTTAAGCCAGCACAGAGAGAGAACAGGATCCTGAGAAGAAGGTTTCTTTAGGCTAGATTAACAAACACTGGATTGCTCTGGATTTGCTGATGCTGCTCTAAGGGACAGCAATGCCTGGTTTCATCCTGTGTAACTGAACGTTATGTATGGTATCAGGTACTTATACTACAAAGGGTCTCTGCACTGCTACAGACTATTAATCCATCAAGCCACACTTGGAAGTGAGAGTCACCTAGTATTTGGAGCACATACTACCTACACAACATATAAACTAAGTGCTGAAAATTGCTGACACATGATCCGCTACAGACTGCTGGGCTAATCCATAGTTCTTTCCAATTTTTAAAGACCACTTCAGAGGAACAAGCACCTGGTTTCCTGAACCAATCCAGACTGTGCCAGGACTTTAAGTCAGAGCATAGATAGAAAAGTTACACCATACTATATTGCCTGGCAGAAGGCAGGATAGAGATGCACCTGTAGGGTGCAAGTCTCTCTTTTTTTTTGAACTCACATAAACATGGTTTTGGCATTCCCTCTAGTGGGGAATCTGGGTACAACACCCAAGATGTACTGCTTGATAGTAACAGGGTTGGAGTGTTGTAACCCTTGCTTCTCACATGCTTTATGATAACCCTTGTGTTGGTTTAGGCCTCACACACGCAACCTGATTCAAACAGATAATTCTCCACACTTGAACAGATCCCCTCCGGCTTCAGTACCTTCCCATATGGAACAAGATAGAGGATCTTAGTCTAAGTTAGAATGTTGTTTTCAAATGAGCCTGGCACCATTTGACTTCTCCAGGGAGCACTGTTTCCCCCACTAAACTTCTCTGGCTTTTAAGATTTTGGTTTTTTGTTTCATATTGGTGCCAGAGTCAGTGAGAGTACACGAGTTGGGAAAAGATTATAGTCATTTAAATTCAACGAGATCCCCCTCCCTCTTCAAGGGCAAGATATGTCCTATATAATGGTGCAGCTACATAGGGTAGTGGCAGAAGATTACACAAGAATTTTGTTCATTGGAAACACTGTACGCTGCGAGATGCACAGCTTCTGTGTGTTGTTTCAATAAAGAAGATTTTGATATATTCCAGCAGTTGTATCTATATAGAGAGAATAAGCTTCAGAAAACAAATGAAAGAAAAAAAGTGAGAAAGGAAAGCTTGTACAGTGCAAATCAGCAATAATGAGAGATAAAAAAAGGCAGTAAAGGGCATATGAAGCTAAGAGTCAGATAGTCTGGAAAGAACTACTGAACGGCACTGGAAAGCCAGCCTGAGGCAGACTCGCACAGTGTCAATGGGGATTACACAGACACTTGTTTAAAACTGGCTTAATGGTTCATCTCCAAGGCACTGCTCTTCACTTGGCAACCACAATGCCAAGAAGTGAAGGAAAAAACAATCCACAGCCAACTGAAGTTATAACCCAACTGGTTATATCACAGTTTAAAAGAGGCGATCAGCTACAGAAAGGACTTCCTGAAGCTGAACACCTTGCAATACAATTAAACTCACCACCACAGTGGAACGCAGAACAACCCAGGTACAGTAAGAGCCAGTAGCAGCATCCGCCAGTCTCTGATGAAGTAAGCAAATAGTGGCAGCAACATGTAGCCAATTGCAAAAAATATGCAAACTCCTAATGTAGAGAATATAATACGAACTGATTTGCCAAGAATTTCTGTGCCTGTTCAAAACAAGGGAGTGTGGATTAGCATTTAAACTCTTTTTATTTTTTAATCCATGTCTAAGTATTTTTTTCACATTTACAAGAATAAGCCAAAATACAATCTTAGAAAAGATTTAGAAAAGAAAAGAAGCCATTTCCTTTACAACACAAAGTGTCACTGTCAAGGAGTTCTGACCCAACATAAAAGGAACGTTAAAATGATGTTACTTTCATGGAAGAGTCCCTTAGATTTCAACTGAATATTATATTTTGAAGTTATGCTGTTTTAAAGTTCAGCTATCATATTGTGTGGAAATATGACATCCAGCGCCCCCTGCTGGTCCGACAGAAACAGACTTCAAGGAATACAACACTACTATTCACCTCTCTCCTGGTAACACCCATGCTGCTGCAGAACCATATAAAATATCTGAATAAAAAAAGGAACTTTTCTTTCACTAGCCTTCTACATTTCTGCAGGACTAGTATCAACAGTTGTTCAGGAGACAGGCGGGAAGAGTCTTACATTTCTTTAGTGAAATCTGCTATTTACGAAGTGTGGCACCAGAGAAAAAAGACAATTTACAACATCTTTTGAATTCAGACACCTTGTCCTCAACTGCCATCAGTTCAAAGACATTTGTGACTATAAATACTCTGATGTGGAAATTTAAACTGAACTAGTAACTCAATAGTAATAGTCTTCATAGTTTCATAGTTTCTAGGGTCGGAAGGGACCTGAGCAGATCAAGTCCAACCCCCTGTCTTAGGACGCAGGAATTGCCATATTAGTCCATAGCGCCCCATATCCTCTGTAATGTGTCCCACAGTAGTCAGGGACAGGTGCTTCTGAAGAAGATATACGTATCTGGCGATGCACAGTCCAGTCCCTTATAGAAATGCAGCCATACCATGGGGATCAGCTTGTGCCTTGAATCTTGAGAACAGAACAATGGCACAAGTTGTTCACTGCAGAGGCTGTTAGCTGCCTGAACAGAGCAAGACTTAAATATTCTGCAAATTCATTGCTTCAGTGCATTCCTACAGTGGCACGTTCAACAGGGTCACTAATTGGTAAAAGCAGGTGTCATGCAAAAAGAAAAACAAGGACACATGAGTGGCCTTCACTGGCCGGATTTGCAAAATGCTGAGCACCCAGAAGATCCCATGGGCTTCAATGACACTAGTAACTGCACTGTTACTGAAAAATCACATTGCTTGTCTGGGTGTTTAACTCCAAGCGCCTGTCTTTGAAAATCTTGGCCTAGGACATTTTTAAATGTCCACCCTCCTTTGCAAAGTCAGCCTTTTAAATTTGTCTTTGCATAAGAGTCCCCTTACACTTGCCTCTGATCTTTCCCATGACCCTTCTTTCCACCTTTTGAGTTTTTCTACATCTTTAAAGTTAAGTGAACTATACTAGATGCAGTTCTACGAAGAATAATGCCGCCTCTTCCTAGTATATAATGGGATATCATCAATACTGACAAAATCCAATGTCAGATTTGCTTTACTCACTTCCCTTGCTCCTGAAGACATTCTGATTACCTGAGTCCAGTGAGCTACAGCTTCACTTGCTCCGCTGCCAGCCAATTCCCAGCGTTGGTAGTCTGGCACTTAGGCATTGCATTCTACCACTACTGAGGAACGGCTGGTTGAAATGCTCCAACAGATTCCTCAGGACACTGATCTGGCCCTAGGGAAGGTAGGTAGGGGGTGGCTAAACGTGTTCCTATGAAAATAAAACAACTAAAAAAAATTGACACCACATAATCCCTAATTAAAATAGATATAAACTATCCCCTCAGGGTATTTACAACTCAAAAAATATACTATTGTATAATAAAACCCTGACAGTTAAATGAACTATCCTGTGTTTTCAGCCTGCTACCCCAACAACGTGCTGAAAGAATAAACAACATGATGAATAGCCTCATGTTTTATTAGTAAAGCAAACTGACAGTGGCTTTTAACCAGTGCTCTCTTACCAATATTGGCAACACTGATTTTCATTCCAATTCCTGAATTACTCCAATAATTACCTTTCATTTCTTCCTGTTCTGTGCATCTAGAGATATCAAATTTCCAGAAATTTGAAAGCCATGGGAGAAAAAAACAAAACAGAACACATTTTCCCTTGGGATTTTTTTCCTCCCAGAAAAAAACAGAAATTTTGGGAAAATTGAAATATATGCAATACGTATTTTCTTAGCACCCTTTACAGATCTAAATTTACTTTGGTACTTTAAGAACATAACATTAATTCTGTATAACTTGGTTTGCTCATAAAAATATCATTTTTGGTACATTTATTACATTTAAAAGTATAATCAGATAATTACATTTTGAATTTACTTTAAAATGCTTTTAATTTTTTCTACAAATGGAGCTACAAGCTGCTGAACTCTAAGGAACCTAGCATCTCTTAGTTTTTGCCAGTTTATGAGAAACAGGCAAAAATTAAAGTGGAAAATAGAAGAAACCATCAACATTATAGTAAAATAAAGGAAGTTATTATGTATTCTGAACTTAGTCTCCTCCACAGTGTCAAGCAGATACAGAAAGCACTCATTTTTCAAAAAAGAGCTGAGAAAAAAGGGGGAAAAACAAGACTCACTGAATACAAATTTTGTTACATGAAACTCTGTCTAATACCAATTTCTTTCACATGCTGCAGAAGGTGGCGGAATCTAAAGCATGCGAGAAACAAGAGGAATTAGATGCTGTGTTGCGCAAAGGTCTTGCCACCACACTGCAGAAGGGATACGCTTGGCAGAATCCCAGACTGCATTCCTGGACCAAATACCTGAAGACACTGTATTCTGCAACATTTGAAAGTACCTTTCCAACATCAAGTCCTAAGTGTGTTGCTTGTTTTGTAATTCCGTCAAATGCAGTAGCAGTGCTATCATCACTAACATGTCTGCCTTTGAACCTTGGATCCAAGAGATTTGCAGCAGAATTAATTGATTTTCAACAAAATTCTTCCTGTCTGTTAACAGTCTTTCACTTTTCTTTCTTCTGTACTTGTAAGTGGAGATACACTTAGATTCTCAAAAACAGTTGATTTTATCCGAGTCATTTGGTAAGGAATGTCTGACAAAAGTGCACTGTCTGATTCAGATGCAGTGACTGCTGAAGAAACTGGCCTTAGAATCTTCAGGGAGCTCTGCAGCTGAACCCAAAAGACATCCTCATTAAGTACAGTGTTCCTTACACTTCTGGGTACATTAAGATCCTCAGTTATTACTGTTTCTTGAAGACCTCCTTTGTTTTTCAGTAAATTTTCAAATGAGATCACCACTCTACCCCATCTAGTTTTACTACAGAGCTTGAGCGTGTCACTACTTCATTCTTTGCATTCTTCTCTTCCAGCTTCTTCTTAAAGATTGCAGCTATGAGTACCTTTTACATGTTTTATAACTTCTTTTGCTCTTCTATAGATCTTTTGCAGAGAGTCCAACTTCACGATATCATTAAAATGCAAGTCTAGCCCATTCTTTCAGCTCCTTTGTGCTGCTTCTGTACTTTTGTGGATCTCAAGGTCACAAGGCCAGGAGGAGGCAGGTTCCTTCTAATTCCAAAACTTTTAGACTTGGTCTGTCTCCTCTCCTGAGGCTTTTGAGCAAGCAGGGCAATAAGCTCCTTGTTTCTAATCTTTACAGGAACAAACGATGCTGCTGCCAGTGTCTACTCCCAGTCCTTTGAGGCCCAGTCAGGAGGACAGGAACAGATCCACCAACCTCTACATCAAAAGTCAACAACAGAAGAAGTCCACAAGCAAAGAAGGCACTGAATCCTTCTTCCTTCCCTTGTGAAAATGCCAGTGCCCCCTGGGGCAGAAATACATCTTCTCTCAAATGCAAGAGCTTGTACTGTACTGCTTGTCCTCGGTGTACAGGAATTGCAATAATATGATACTGTAGATAGTCTCACATAAAAGTCTTCCTATTACATAATTATTAGGAAACATTTTTGGTGAGTAAATGGTAGCAATATATGAACACCTGATCTTAAACATTTTATTCATCATTCTAAAAGAAAACATTTCATAAGAGGTTTTTAAAATTTTTCCAAAAATTTTAAATTTTTTGGAAAAAAACCAAAAAAATTCTCAGAAAAAGACAGGGGAAATGGTTTTTTTCTCCAAATTTTTCAGGTTTTTTTTCTGGGCCTTCACATCTCTATGTGCATCCTCTCTCAAGTCAACTGTTCAAACACTTGCAGAACAGGGAACACATTTTAATAAAGAGACTGTTATGTGGACCCTTCCCTCCTGTTTCCAAGGCTGCAGGCCATTTTCCCTCCATCCATGCTCATTTGATATCTCTCTAGCCACTTCAGGAATGACCTACATTATAAAGTATTTGTGCATTTTAGCTCTCATTAATATGACTGGGAGCTAGAAAGAAGCAGGAGAGTCAGCACCACATGACAGCCAGATCCCTGCACCTGACCCGGAAGGTGTTAAACCAACAATTTGAGACTTTCTGATTTAGCCAGGTCTTATTCATGAATTTTCCCCTTGCTCTGCATTTCCTGTAAAACACTGTGCAGAATTTTATTTAATCCCTTTGAAAGCCTGAATCAGGTGCTCTTAAAAATAGAAGTCCTGGGCAGTTTCTGAACAATAGCTAAAGTTTCTGCCACCTTAGCCTAAGGAAGGGTTCTGCAATACCCCAAAGCTTATTTATGTCTATCCCAATCATACAGTTGGCCCAATAAAAGATATCACCCACAAGAATTCTTGCCTCTTAAGAAGTTTTACTGTTTAACAGAGTTTTGTGGGGGAAATGTGGAAAAGAGAGTAGCAAGGGTCCCTTCTTGAATTCCAGACAGGAGAATCTCCTTTATAAACTGGAACAAAAGACTTGCCTATGATTGATTTCATTGAGACAAGGATTAGGCCATAAGTATGACAACTTGGCCAAAAGATGGAGGAAGTCTCTTTTAGGAGATTGCAAAAGCTGACAGAACCAACGGCAGAGAAGCTGGTATGATCTCTCAAGGCTGTTTAGTCTTCAGAACAGCCATAGTTAATAACACTAGAGATGTGGTTCTTAACCTTTTGCGATTTGGGGCACTCCTCAGGACACGCGATATAGAACTCAGGCAATGCCAGCTCTTAGTCTTCACCTGTGTTTTGACTACAGAAAAATGAGAGCAATTCTTCTGTTGCAAGGAGCTCAGAAAGACCACAACAGTTCAGGCTGTTTTTAAAACCATGAATTCCTATATGAAGTCTATGGGTTTATCTTGTGAATCATGTTTGCACACCTTACCATGCTAACACTGAGTGGCAGCCCGTGGCACCCTTGAATGGATCTCAAGGCATCCCAAGGTGCTGTGGCACCCTGGTTGAGAATCACTGCTCTAAAATCACATTCAAACTTCTGTGATCTGGAAGTGCCTTTGGTAGAGATAATTCTACTGAAGAGCAATTCTCTTGCTTTGCCTGGAAGCATGAAAGCATTGGTGACCACTGAACAGGCAGGGGGAAACTGTTTAGGAGTCTCTTCATTCTTCTATGGGTGCAAGGAAGCAAGGAAATGGGAGAAAATGGGGAGACAATTCCTTTCCAGCAGTCTGAAGGTGTTTTTGGTTGCAAGGAAAATTCTGCAAAAGAACAACTGCACCACAATCCTAACACTGCACCATAACTGTGTTGGTAGATAACTGAGTCACAAAAGGTGCAGTACTGGGATATTATGAGATTGCCATTTGGATGCACTCCACTAGATGCTGGAAATAGCTACTCAAAGCAAAGAGCCACTAGTCTACTCCACGAAAAAAGAAGGTAGTTCATACCAGAAGGGCTGATTAGCAGCACTGTTAACATCTTATACAATTAAACAACAACCACCAAAATCAATTTTAGCCGGGGGTTTGAGCTTCCACATTGTGTTGCTTATTTCCATTAATTTCTTCTTAACACCATCCTATGGGAGATTCTCAGAGACAGGTCACTAACGATACTCTCAGGAGTTTTCACAATATGCTCTACAAATAATTAATTTGGTTTTCCTTGTTTAGTGATCCTTAGTGTAATCAATTTAAGGGTTAACATAGAACCCAGTTTTGAATGATATTGTAGGGGGACACGTCTCTGGACTGATGTAAACAGTCAACTGAAGCAGAGTCTTTTAAGGTGAGAAATTTATTGATATCAGTTCAATTTCTATAAATTTCATTTTCGGAAGAGAACAGCAGCAAAAAATCATAGGTTGAAAGACATGAAAGAGAGGATAGTATCTTGTAACATAGATGTTGTTATAGTTGCACATCTCTAAATGAAAACCAAGCCTGGCAGCTGACTCACACAGAGCACAGTGCTAATGCAGGAGCTAATCCTTTAGAGACAGGAGCAGCATAAGCCTTCAAGCACTTGGCTTATTCTCCAATAAAATGCATAGCTTGCCCATAAACAAGCAAACTAAACAAAGCAAAACAAAAAGAAAAATATCCTGGCATAACAATTCTATCCTAAAGCCTCTCGGGCTACATACATTGTGTATCACTATGGGCTTTAGAGTCTATTGTTCCCAGAATGTGACCTGGACTCAAATAAAAATCCATCAAGTGGACAGACAAAGGTCACAGAAATTTGGGATGTTAGTTATGTAATGCATCAAATCATTGAATACTGCTATAACGACAGAAAAGTCCAAGATCAAAAACCAGTCCAAGAGACACCTGTTATTTTGGACTGGAGCCTTTCAGTAGCCAAGTCTTTGGAATAATTCCACAGTAAACAATTTAAAAAAAAGGATTTTCTCTCCACTCAAGATTCCTTCCAAGGCTGTTTTGTTTGGGGTTTGTTGTTGTTGTTTTTTTGAGAGAGAGCTACAGAAATTTCCTTTGGTGTCTGTTTGCTTGTGCTTCATGCACTTATAGGTTGTTTTAGGAGAAGTGTGACATTTAAAGCAATGATGTATGGAATTTTATATATTGTATTCAATTCCTACAATTTTAGATTAGTCAATTCAAAAACATTTATTAGAGCAAAATATTAAAATATTAGAGTAAGCCTTTCATTTACATTTACCTGAACTCCTCGTCTTTCTTCTCCTTTGCCAAAAAAAGAGCAATTTTGCAATTCCGGGACAACACCTGTGCCGTTATGGTTTAGTATATTTTTATAGTAACTGTCTTTGAATACAGAGAGTAACAAACGTCTGAGACTATTTAAAAAAAAAAATACAGAAAAGACTTCCCAGGCTGAAAGATGCAACTACAGAATTACAAGAAAGGCTTAGAAAAAAATAAGTTATTCCCACTAATGGAAGGACCAGTCCTGCCAGATGCAGTGGATCATACTAGATCACCTAGTGAAGTTTTTTCAGGGCTTACTAGGTTTTTGTGAGTTTTGAGAGAATAAATTATGAATAGTTAATGGTTCAAGTCGAGCCTTTTGTTTGGCTTCTAGCCATAATGTTTGATTTAAAATTGCAATCAGATGGAGAAATCTTGGGTAAGATCCTTACTTTACAAAACAGGATGACAGTCAATTTAATGTTTCTGGGGTATAATGCACTTGACTTTGAATGCTTGCTGTAAACATGCCTGGGCCATTGTTTCTCTCTAGAAGCTCTATGCCTAGCAAAAGCTCTAATGAATATAAATGGGAAGAAATTACTCTCAGATGCAGTCATCAATAAAACATTAGCAACCATTTTTAATGAAAAATGTCTACAATATTATTTTTCATAAATAATATATTTTCTTGAGAACTTGTTTTTCTTTTGGCTAAGAAACTAAAAATACACAGGGAAGCTCAAGCTCCATATTTTGGTCATTTAAGATATTTACTTCTAGAAACCACTATATCTACCGTGCAACAGGCAAAGTTCACATTTCCAGCACTAAAAGCCTTCAGCATGCTCTACTCATGCTGCCTAGTAAGAGCCAGAAAAACAATCTCATGGCTCATAGGGACTCCCAATAAACCCATCAGCCAAGTCACTACATTGGTCTCTCTCACGCATCAATATTGTCTTTGGAAGGGTAGGGGTGAATCCAACCTAAAGAGTACCTGCATTTCAGTAAGAACGAGAAAAGGGATATCGATTTAAGTGGAAAAAAAATCACCTAACGGGAGGTGAGGAGAAAGAGGCAAAAAGTTTTGGAGAGAGTGTCCCATCCCACAACACTGGACAGCTGCCTACAGTACTTATATACCCCTGCATTAGGAACAGCATGCAATGAACAGGACCTAACATCCTAACCAGCTTCCCAGCATTTGGGGTTGCTATGGTACAGTTTACCATCATCAAATGTTGAGGTCGTTTCCCAGTCATTTAGACTGTGTCTTGAGCAAAAGCTTGCCAAAGCTGATAAGAATATTCCCACTGACTTAAATGGGCTTTGTACCAAGTCCATAAAAAGGATGCATTGTCATTCTGATTATCTGTCAAGCCTCTTCTCTAATGAATTGAATATCCGAGTGTGTATGGAATTCGCCACTCTTAAAACACTTAATTAATATTTCAAAAGAACATTAAAATAGATTTATAAAAATGAAATTAATGAGGTGATTTAAATTAATTAATTTTGGCTTCCTTTAGGTCAAAGCTGCAATTATACAAGTAAGAAACATCCTGACATTTTCACAGCCACATTGTTTTAAAATTCAGGCTTTTTTTACATTAAATAAAATAGGAGAAAATTAAAAAACTTAGTGAACATTTTTTGTGATTCTAGAAGAAAATCATTCCTGGTGTGGCATTTGCCAGTCACTTCAGTGACATTTCTGCCCACTCCATGTGAAATTATAGTCAAAAACCTTTCTTTTTGGCTCAACATATGCACTTTATGGGAAAACTGCAAGCTGCATTAAACTTGACTGGCAGAAACGAACAGTTTCCCCCCATAACTTAACCTCTTGGGAAATCATTGATTAATACATCATATAGTTGTGGAATATGGATCATTTTAATTTACAACACTTTAGCTACTGAACAACGCAGTTCAGCAGTGGCAAAAGAACATGCAGCTTAACTGAGTTTGTGGGTTTACCTGCCCAGCCTAAATTTGACCCCAGATCTTTTGTCACAGTGCTGAAATACAGGGAGCAGAAAGAAAGCTGCAAGTGAGTGGGTGGAGCAAGGAGAGAGGCAACATGGTTTTTCAAACTGAGATGTGTTTGTTTCGATAACAAGCCTTGAACACTCCCTTTCACTATTGCAACAGCAACTGTTTTCTCTACCGAGAGGATGAGAATCGGCAAGGTTTTCAGGCTAGATTGCACAGGATAAATTTCTCCATGAGAAAAGCATGAATGCCTCTTTTAACAGTTATTTCCACTAAGGACAGAAATACCAACAAAGGTACTGCAGTGCCACTGTAATTCCAAGGAATGGTCAAGGGATTGAAAAATGACTTCCAACTTATTCGAAGACTATTACTGTGCATGAATTATTAAAAATTTCTTCAAATTCACTAGATGAGCAGCTCCCCTCATACGTACTCAGTGAATGCAACTCGGGCAACGAGCTAAGCACATGATTTATTTTAAACACTTCGTTCTCACTGAAATCAACAGGACCTACACACACATACACCTACCTTACTGAATAGGACCCTAAAAAAAAAAAAAAAAAAGGAAACTTGATAACAGGTTTTTTTCTTGCTTTTGCATTTTTTACTTTTAAAGGTCTTGGGAAATCCTGTAGGGGTTTTTTTGTATGTTTGTTTGACATAATTTTCCCCCCCATTATTATTTAAAAGATGTATGCAATACTCTTTCATAATAATCTCCTCTAATATATACTCAGCATATAGTCATGCTTGTTTAACCAGATTCCTATAAGCTCCCAAGGAAAAATATCTTCGTGAATGTGATTAGGGAGGGTGGAAAATGTTGCGGTCTCCACAATGATGCTACTTTTGTTTTGTTCTTCCAAGCATTCACCACTATACAAAGCAAGCATTAATGCAATTCAGATATGTTCATACCTAATATGAAGGCCACAACATAGTTAGAGATCTGTCCCATTCCAACTATAAGAAACAGTATTGTGAACATCTCCCAGCTGGTAGAGAAGATCTGCACGAAGCTGAAGCCAGTCTGCACAGCCATGGTTGCAAAGAGAATAGTCTTCCTGCCAAACCTTTTATAAAGACATAAATGAGAATATTATATAAAATCCATAAAAAATATTTCTTGAAGGTGGGCTAAGCAAAAGAGCCCTGGTATAGACACCTAAGTCAAAGTCACGTGGCTCATCAAAAGTGATAGCAGTCAAAAGCTTAAAAAATACTTAAACTATAGGAGCTTTAGAACCCAAGAAATTGAATCAAAGAAGAAATTAAGAGCAGAGATCTTAAAGAGTATTTTAAATCAGTATCGTTGCAACATAGAACATATCATAGGTAAAAAGCTGTTAGAAGAATTACAAGACAGGCAGAAATAAAGAAATGACAAACAAGCTCACTTAAGCAACGTTAGCTCAGTTTTTCTGTGCTATGATGCAGTCTTTACTTACATAAGCACATTTTTCTGCCTTGTTCAGGGACTTGGATAGTTGGTGCTTAGCAAACAAATTTCCATTTAACAATTTATTTTATTCTAATTGTTCAGTGTGCTCCGTTGCCCTAATAAAAGCACATTTTTCAAGAAAAGCTCTGCAATAGACTCATTCGTGTCTTCATGGACTTTTTTATGACTGTATAGAATTTAAAGGTTTCATGGAGTTTTATAATGTTAGGCAACTTCAGTAAGAAGTGGAGCTGAGTCCTACCTAACAAGTATGAACATTACACTCCTTCCTGCAGGACACTTCTGATGTTTGCCAACAAAAATAGCTCTGCACCCAGAGCATGGAAGACTGCAGAATCCATACAACTGCAGTGTAATAGTTGAATTGCTCAAGGCAGCTAAGGAAGGCAAGAGTGATGTTTTTGGCCACTTAGTCTTTTAGGACAATGACTGGAAATCCAGCAATGGTTTACCTATACTTTCCTCCCTCTTTCACCTCGTTTCTTCTCAACTTCTTGTCTATATACTTGCATTTTTTCCTATGGAAAAACTAGGTGTAACTTTATCTCAGAACACAAAGGCATACACAGGCATGCATTGACTTGAGTGTAAATGTAACAACATTACAAGGCTTGCTAAAATTTTATATATTACTAAAAAATCCTGTCAGTGCCCGGGCAGCAGCCAGCAGAAGTGAATTTTTGTGAAAACAAACATATGTCCTAGAGATTTTTTTGGATGTTCTCAATACAGAAATGGCGCCAGAGAGATTTAGTGATTATCAAGTCTCATTTTAAAGATAAAAGATTAGCTGGCTTTTGTATCAGGGTCAAGAGCCAACAGATTAATTTTGGATTAAGTGGAATTAGATATCTGAGATTTAAAGGATTAAAACATTCCATCGTTTCACAAATCTACATTCATCAATCCTCTAAACTGGATTCCTTATTCAAGAATAGTACAATTACATAAAACCTTGAGGATGTTCTATAAACAGAGGACAGGGGAATAGACAATGCAACATGAGTTTTCAGAGCAATGCTGTAGCACAAAAGCCAAATTTGATCCCTCAGTAAGTAAACAGAGCAGTTGGGATTAGAAGCGGAAAATGATTTTTCCACAGTGTATGGCAGTGGTGAGACCATTACTGGAACATTGCTTAAAGACATGGAAGATGTCTGTAACATTTAATGAATATTACATGTCAGTCTAATGGTTGGTTGCTACTGTATTGCTGCTCTATGATTAGAAGCAACTAAATCAGGCATGGCTTAGACCAGGGGTGGGCCAAATCTGGCCCATGAGGCTGTTCTACCTGGCCCGCAGTGCCCCTACAAAAATTTAGAAAATATTGATCTGTCCTTGGTTCCTCTCAAAAAAGTCAGGGGCAGTAGGACCCAGGCCTGCCCAGCCCCGCCCCCCCAGCCAGAAGCCGCAGGAGGGGCTTCTCGCCTGGGACCATGTGGCTGCACTGTGCCGGAAACTCAGGTAAGGAGGGAGGACCGTGGGCAGGGAAGGAGCCTGGGGAAAAGTGGCCCAGGGAAAAGCGGCCCTTCCCCTGCACCGTGGCTGGCGCTCCCTGCTGCAGCCGCCCACAACCTGTGCGGGGCTGTCCTGAGCAGGGAGAGGCAGCCCCAGGTGGGCTGAGAGAGGCACTGGGCACAGGGTGGACAAGGGGCCGTTTTTCCATGCAGCTGCTCGGCGCGGAAGAAAGCGGCCCCCCACTTGTTGCGCCAGGCAGTGTTCGCTGCTGCTGCCCACTTGGAGCTCGGGTGCTGGGCAGCAGAGGTGGCAGTGGCAAACACTGCCCAGGACAGCAAGTGGGGGGCCTGCTTTCTTCCATGCCGAGCAGCTGCTGCTGCCATGCACAGCCCCGACAGGCGAGCCCGGAGCCGATGCAGGGCCCAGGCTGGCAGTGGGGGCAGGTTACAATCTGATGCTGAGCATGGGGAAAAGCAGCCCCTCACCTGCCCCATGCCTGGCACCCTGTGCTGCTGTCTCTCACAGCCCACGTGGGGCTGCCTGTGACTGCTCAGGACACCCCTGCACAGGCTGCGAGCCGCTACAGCAGGGAGCGCCAGCCATGGGGCCAGGGAGAGGCCGCTTTTCCCTGCACTCAGCACCAGCTCCTTCCCTGCCGGCGAGCGCGGAGTTGCGGCTGCATCTTGCCCCCAGCCTGTACCGCAGGGCTGTGGGGGCACTGGGAGTGAGCAGGTGCGGGAGTCAGTGGCAGCACAGGGCCTGCACCAGTGTCCCGGGGCCAGCTGGGCCCAGAGAAGGGCAGCAGGAGTACAGGGTCCCAGACAGCAGGGGCTCTATGGAGCTGGGCCAGCTCCCCCCTCTCCCTGCTGGTGCAATCCAGCCCAGCTCCACAGACCTCTGCCAGCCTGTGCCCTACTCTGGGCTTTCCCGGCACTGGCCCTGGGACACTGGTCCCAAGACATTGGGACAGTGGTCCCAAGATGGTGACCAGGGGGCGGGGCACCTGTCAAGGGGTGGGGCTACCCATGCGGCCTTCGACAGCTTGCCAAAATGGGTAAGCAGCCCTCCGCCCGGAATAACTGATCGCCGCTGGCTTAGACTACATGTACACTGAACAGACACTTCTGGTAGTGTCCTCCAGCTACTAATAATTAAAGACCAGCGCTATTTAGAGGGCTATCCCTCATGGTGGGCCAAAAACTGGTTTAATTAGGTTCAAGCAACAGAAGGCAAGATAAAGGACTTCTGGGCAGTTAAAAGGATAATCTATAAAGGATGGGGGAAAGAGGCATGTAAATCAGCCCAGAGGTTAAGGTGTCTGGGATACATTAGGCATACAAAAGCTGGGAGTAGGTCAGATGTCCCAGCAGACTGTGGTGTTAATTACTCTTGTGCTCGTTATCCTGTTAAGATATCAAGCACTTAACAGGGAGGAAGGACATTCAGGACTCAAACCTGCCGAAGAATCACAGATGGTGAAAAGGCGGTGGCCTTGTACCCAGCCTAAGAGCAGGAGTATAGTGGAGGCCTAAGGGCCGGAAAGGCAGTACTCAGAGAGAACCCAAGAGTTGCAGCTAACCCTGACCTGACACAAGGCACCCTGTCCTGATGCTCAGGGTTTGAAAGGATGCTGAAAAACTGGGGAAAGTGCAGAGAACAGTCAAAGAAATTATTTGTGAACTTCACAATGGGAGACAAAGAGCTGTTCAACAAGAAGACTGAGAAAGGACTTGGTTACAATGATTAGGATTTATGGAGGGAGAAAATACTCCCTCCATAAGAGTGAGTATTTTCCAAAGAACAAATGGTTCTTTACTCTAGCAAAGAAAAGCATAACAAGAATGGAAGGCACAAGGCTGAAGCCAGACAAATTCAAATTGGAAATCAGGAACAAATTTTAACGGTGGCAGTGATCAACTGTTAGAACGACCTGCCAAAGAAAGTGGAGGATTTTCCATCTCTTGATTTCTTCAAGATCCTTTTCTGGAAGATATGCTTTAGCCTAACATATGTCATTGGGTTAAATATGGCTGCATAAAGTAATGGTTATACAAACAGCAGACTAGATTACCTAATAGCCTTTTGGCTTTAAATTATAGCAAAGCTGTATCCATTGCTGATGAACTAAGTTAGGATTTAAAATAATTTAGCATCATCTTTATTCTTCCTATTTTGGAGCAGCTCAGTTTGTCTCCATCAAACCTCCTTCTGTATACAGAGACCAAAATTATACATTCAATTCAAGCCACCCCACTGCTCCTAGACTGGCTTTTCAGTGATGGTATTAACGAAGGTTTTATTCTTCAGGAGACTATTTGAAGGGAATTCATAGAAAAAACATTAACTGACCGTTTCTGAAATCAACACCAGAACATCTAAGCACATACATAAGTGCTTTGTAGAAAGTTCCTGATGTGAAGGGTGTTAATTCTAAAGGGGACACCTGAATAAATGGTAGGTTAGGACTGAGATTTTTAGACACGCTTATGGAGACCCCTTATACCCCCCACGAAAATCTTAGCATAAACATGAATTAGGACCCTCATTTTGGTTTAGCATAGGTCACTAATATGTGTTCTAACATGAAAGCTATTACTGTGGTCTCCGTTTCCAGAAGCAGAAGAGATTTACCTGTCTGAGAGCTGTCCCGATATAAAGGATCCAATCAGCACCCCCACAAAAAACAAGGAGGTGGTTAGTGGGGCTTTCCAATCATCGTCACATACCAGATTCCACTGCAAGAAAAACAAAGCAAGATTTAATATTTCCTATTTCTTAATATCATTTTATAACTGGTTCAGCAGATGATTTAAATTAGTTATTTATTTTAGCAGTAGGCCAATTTCAACATAATTTGGACTTGTTTTCCTATATTGTGTTTCCATTTGGCTGTGGATAAGGGGTATGGCTATTACACAGCGACGGGTCCCAACCAAGAACCCAAATGCACAGTCAGTAAACAGGAAAGGAAATGCAATCATTTCAACTCTGGGGAGAATGGAAAATGTAAGAACAGAAGCCAACGAAGAGAAGAGAAGGACACTTGCCACTCCTCCAATATGCTTACAGTTGTAGCTGTGCCCCCATCAATTCCCCTATGGTTTATCTGACCACAGAAAAAGGCAAATCTGAGCTCAGTCATAACTGTGGCCAGAAGAGGTTGGTTGCAGTTCATATACCTACCTTCCCTTGCAGTGCTTATCAGTAGGGACCTACTTAAATGGTAGTTTCACAATTTTTGCAGAAACCACATAACATGTTTATCTCCACAACTGCTGTGAAAAATGGCACCGGCTGCGATTTCTCAGGAAATCAATCCTCCAAAAAATTAATAAAAATAAAATGCTAGCTCTTTGCTACTACTGCAGCCTGGCTTTGCAACGCACCCGTGAGGGAAAAGCACCAACTGGCAGGGCAGCACAAAGAGCAGCAGCCGTGATGGTAGCTGCCCTGTCGTACCTCTCTGCCAATCAGCACCGAGGGGTGGAGCCACATGAAGGGCAGCCAGCAGTCAAGATGGCAGCCAATCCCTTGTCCGTCCTCCCACTGGGGCCTCTCTGCCAATCAGTGCCAAGGTGCAGGGCTACTACAAATCATCATAAAAAAATCAGCTTTTTGGGTTGTGACCAAGCTACAAAAATTGCTTTCTCTTGCTGCAGGTTAGGTAGGTCCCTACTTATCAGCAGTGTTGGCTATTCAAAGACAGACATCCCAGAGAAGTCTAACTTTCAAAAAGGTTTGAACACCTGTTCATGCAAATCAAGACCTGTAAGAGTATCTTAAGTTGGGAATGCAGGACCTCTACTAACTCTTAGTGACCTGTGCTACTGTGGCCATAAAAAAAAAAAGGGGTGGAAGTTGGGTCTTGTTCACAGGCACAGAGCAGAGCAGAGAAAATGTGGGGAATGCAGGAAGCTCCAAAGAGTCTGAGAAGTATCTAAACCTCAGCCAAAGACATATTTGTACACTGTGCCCCATTGCTTATCTTCTCTATATCACAAAGTAAAAATATTTACTAGTACTGAACCTTTATCCTAGAAGATCTCTTTCATAAAACTGTCCTGGTTCTGATGTTGTTGGATTACTATGGTCTTCTTTTTAACTGAAGAGAAGAAGGGCATTCAGGGGAGAGGAGTGAGGGCATTTTTAGTCAAAGCATCGGCTCTGGAGCTTTGTTCTAGTTTGCCAACACGAGGACTGCCACGCCATGGTGAATATTTCCAGTCCCAGAAAACAGGAAGTGATATGCTCCACCAGAAGCAAATAGTGGTTGGAGCTGATGTGGAACAGAGGTTAGGGAATGCACTTCACAGCATTATGTTGCACAGAAGTCCCTTCAGAGTAGGTCTCTGAACATACCACGGGGTAAAGCGGCTGGCACGCACATCCTCCTTCCCCATGAGGCTATGAGGAAAATAAGCAAGGATACTCAAAACTGAGAAATTCAACCTTATCTTTCTTTCTGAATGGAAACTGGGGAGCAGCGGCCAGCATAGCTCCTGCAAGAAGTAACGTTAAGTGGCCACGAATATATGTAGACAATCCATGGGGGTAAGAGAGGAGGTCAAAACCTCCTACTTTCCCAGAAGGATTCAGCAGGAAAGCTGAGCTTCCAGTGTCCCAAGCTAGTTCTTTGGCAAGAAAAATATCACCACAAGAGCCCAAGTGGAAAAAGACCATTGCAGGTGCCACTTATGTAAAAAAAGGAGGCTCGTGGCTTAATGCAGGATAGAAGCAGGCCGAAGGCTTGAAAGTGGTGTGATCTCAAGTTAGTGAAAGTTTCCATTTTTACCAGAACTGTTCTATTTCTGTATATGAGAGAGGCAGTGTCAGGTTAAACACACTGACTTTTTTCTCATATTAGCCACCCTCTGAAGCACATTCCATTTTAATAAGCTATAGAGGTCATTAAGTGTCTGCCACCTTTTCTGTTACTGATATTAGTCTTGATTAGACATGTAAAACACAAGTCATCATTGGAATAATTTCTCCTAATCATCAGCTTTAAGTATTTCAGCTCTACAAGCTAAAGTTTTTTAAACCTACATTACAGAGTAAACCTCGGGTAATAATGAAATAATCTAATTAAGCCTCAGATTAAAGCAGAGCTTAATTTTAACAATACGTTTATAGCCATAATTCTTGGACTCCGTGCCTTTACAGGAACTTGTCCCTAGGTACACTGGAACATAATTTTGGGCACTGTTTGCCAGCTTAAACAAATATTTCTTAAATGCATGGTGGTTAAAGTACTTCTTCAGCAGAAGTTTCAGTTATTCTGATATTTAACCTGCTTTTCAAACAACAGACAGTTACAAGCATTTGCTTGCATAAAGAAACTGTCTGTTATCATTTGAAATCTTATATGTTAAGAGCATCATAATCAGAAATTGATGCATCAGACATCCTGCCTACATACTCCATATAGGCAGAACTCAGTATTTATTATGCTTAAAAAGAAAAACTGAATACAGGGTATGAGCAGTACACATTTCTTGTGTTCAATAAGGTGATCTTTAGTACTCAGCCCTGGTTGGTGTCTAGAAATAACACTACAATAAAACCTTGCATTCTTTAACCCTGATTTCTATCTGTTCTTTCTATACCCCAACATTGTGGCAGGAGATTAAAGAGGAAGGTCTGTACCAAGTATAGCTGATAGCATTCTTCAAAAATAGCTTGTAAATTAATAAACATGCCTTTTCTTTCTGACATTTAAGCCTGTAGAGACTGTGACACTCGTTAGACAACAAATGCTTTTAGATGATTTTCATGGAACAGTGAAGTCTGAATGACCTACAAAGGACAAGGAACACTTCTGAGGTTTTACTTCAGATTACCACAGAAAACACAAGTTAAAATGCAAAATAATTTAGACTATTTCTTACTGCTGATCTGATTCACAGATTACTCTCCCCTTTCGGAAACAATATCTCTAGCAGCAGAATTCATTTAAATCAAGTCATCTAGCTCATCTCCAAACAATACAATGCACAATGTTTCAACAGGAGCTTTTCCAGTGTTTTTTATAGTCTACTTTGGAAAAGTCTCAAGTTCTGGGGCATTTATTCCTCTTATTGTGAGGGTTCACCCACAGTGTACATGAAGTAGTATGATTTGGTAGAAACATGGAATTCATCAGTTTTACTTCAACTCTACTCGTGTCAAGTTTGGGCAGGTTGATTTCCTCCTTAAAGGAAAACAAGTCATGCCTGTCTTGAAAACAAAGATGTAGACAGATTCAATGCATGCTAGCATCAATGAGTGGGAAACATACAAACACAGTTTGTCTTATGTCACAGTTTTTGCAGCATTTTAAAATAACTTAAGCCTGTAAGCCTGACTTTTGCAAAGACATTTGCAAAGTTCATTTCTGAAAATGAACAGAGATGTTTATGTAAAAGTGTTTTTGTCTCTATTAATGGATGGCTCTGATGATTTTATTGCTCTTTATAACTTTGCCCATCAGCAGCAGAATGAATTAAACAGGACTTTGGTAAATTTTACTGCTGCCATTTACAAATGAGTATGCAGCAGCCAATAAACAAAACATAATATTTTGAAACACTGGGAAAGCACTATAGATATATAAAGGGCTTCATAAGCATTAAGAAATACCTTGGGGAAATCAAGCTGTTTACATTTTAATGGACAACCCCCCCCTTGTAAAACAAAAAGAATAAGTAATTTTCCATTTCAACAGAAGCAGCCATTTAACTTCAAAAACTATAACAATATTGACATTTCAGTTGCTAAGAATACCACCATACGCATTTCATTAACGCTAAGATTTCCATAACAGAAGTAATATGTTGAGTGCCTATCAGATGCAAGTATGATACAATCCGATCTTGAGTGTAATTAGAAAGACAAAACAAAACAAATCCCAGGAAAAATGGGAGAGCCAGGGCTACAGTTTTGAAATTTAGGTATGCAACTGTACAATATAACTTTCAATGTTTACGCTCACTGGGAGGATGAAGAGGTTTAAATTTCAGTAATTAATTCTGTAAGGATGGATTTTACATTACAAGTAAAAAGATCACACACATACATAGGGACTAGGAACTTAAGCAACTGCCATGACTGGCACTGAGAAACTGATTCCCCAATGGTTTCGTGATTCTATATAAATTAGTACTCAGCCTGTTTTAGAACACAATGATTAAATTGGAACATGATAGAATAAAAAACTAAAGTCTTTGGGAGAATTCAGAGACAGACTGTTAACATTATTTTGGGCTATGATGCAAAAGTTGTCAAGATCCTCTGGATTGTAGACAAAAGAATATGGGAAAAAAGAGAGAGATTCAGAGACTAGAATGCTGATTTACAAACTGAAAATCCATATAAAATACCAGAATAGAATCACTTCCATTCTGTAATAGCATTGCTACAACAGTATAATTATATAACGATAACCACAGTTTATCATTTTAATCTACATAGTTTATAAAGCTATATAACTAGAAAGCTTTAATTGTACCTGCTGGTCAGTTTCCGTGCAACAATCTCTTAAAGTGGGAATTATATTCCTTTAATGTTAAAGTCACTAATGAAACCACACCCCATAAATGGGACAAGGAGAGAGAAGGAAAGGAGAGAGGGAGAGAGAGAGAGAGAACAACTCCCAAAGGTAGCCTTCATACTCATGAAGGTAAACCATACATATCTATGAAAACAAATAAGCATGAATGCAGAATCCATCCATTAATAACAGATGGTACTCCAAGTAACCTTTTATTATATACACATGCACACCTTTTACATTTTTCTAGTCCTGAATATTAAAAGATGCTATGTTCACTTTCCAAGTCTACAGACTAAAGAACTATCCATGATTGATCTGACCTGCCTCACTTATTTTAATAGGGCTGATGACTGAATTCCTGATGAGAATCTGTCAGCACCCAACTACTTCACAGCTGATCATACTTCCTGTTAGTCTGGTCCTTTTTACCAGCCTGTGTGTTCCTTGTCTTCCATATTGCAAGCACTCAGGAGTAAAGAGCATTTCTAAAGTGCTTAGCATCCTGGAAACATCACTGCAGCATGTAAGAGAAACAGCCAGCTCATGTGCCTACCCCTGTACAGAAAGACAGTCTCCTGCATTCTCCTGGAGCCAAAAGCCCCCAGCATCCTCTCCTTAGCTATAAAAATCTCCTACTACCTTTCATCCCCAACATATTCTAAAGAATAGTGAGGCTCCGTCAATTTTTTTAAGTTAGTGAAGTCATGAAGACTATATTAAGTGGAAAAATGAGCAACTCAAATTGCAGATACTGAATTTATCCGAAGCTGATGCAGAACTGAAACCTGCTGCAGATTCCAGACCAAGTTTTAGGCAGAGTACACAGTGTCTTGTGGGCAGAGGTCTAGAAAGCTTTGTTCTGTACAAAATGTAGCTCTTCCCTCCCTTGTTCAACAGGAGAACACTGTAGAAGACATATTGTGCCCGACATGTAATGTACTCTGCCAAAACTTTTATAATACTACCAACTGGAACATTTCCCACCTAAGGCTTGTACATTAGTGCTATGATACTCACTACTATACTGTACGAGATAGTCAATCTGAACGCACCAAGTTAGCCAAAACATGAAGGTTAATGAGAGGCACATGATAAACTCTTTCCATAAGTGCTTTGGGCAGGTCAGGGAATGGGCAACACAATATGGGGGTGTTTGCCCTTTAGGCCAGTAGATCAAATCTGGTATAGCTGGAGGTGACCAGAATTTACTTTGATTGGATCCTTAATGGCCTACAGAAAATAAATCCAGTTTAAATTTAATCCAGATTCTAATGTACCTGTGGCTTAAAGACTGGCAGCAGTCAACAGGGGACATTAAGCCTCAGAAAAATTATTCTGCATGTTCTACATGCCCTGTTTACATAACCTAGAATGACAATGACTTTATTTGTTTTTTGCATCAGCATCATATCGTTGACTCATTCACCTTCACTAAAACCTCAGATTCTACCTAGCTGGTTATTCTCATGAAGGATTTTTCTTTCCCAAGTGTATTATTTTCAAAGTGCTTTTACTGAATATCATCTTCTTGATTTCAGATCGTTCTCCAAAACCACTGTGAAGTCTGACACTGTCCTCCAGCCCATCTCACTTACAAATTGTGTAAGTTTACCTTATAGTGTATTAATGAAAATATTGAACATTATTAGATGCAGAATAGGCTACTGCAGGACATCACCTAATTTATCCTCCCAACTGGAGAGCAAATCCTTGATAATGACTCTGACTACAGTTTTTTCAATCACCTACGTGCCCACCTTTATCTTGCTTATTTAGATAAAGTAGGAAAACATATCACATGGGCCTGTGTAAACAACAAAACAGTAAAAAGTCAAGATATAACACATTTATGGCTTCCCCAATCCAATAAGCAGCTTTGGCTTTAGTGCCTGAAACTTTACTCTTCTTATAAGCATGACATTAATTATTCAAGGCCATGCAACCGAGGTTTTATGTTTCTTCTATTGGCACAAGCAGTATATTAGCCTACATTCCTTTCCTATGTTGTGTGAGAAGATGGCATATGTTATTCCTGACTTTCACTACTGAGTTCATAATAGACACTACTACTTTTAATTGACAACAACTACACCTAGCTGTTTTGAGGTAATTAGCAGCCATTTGACTGATACATTTTAGCAGTCCCAGA